GTGTGATACCTGGTGGCAGGCAGGAGACACCCGGCCTCCAGGCATTACCCTCTGGGTCAGTTGTCTCCTCTGCTTTTCCAGACAGGGCTTGCCATGGGGTCCTGTGGGTAGGAAGGGGTGAGGATAAAGGGGCTGCTGACAGTACCAGGAGCCCTGTGTCAACAGAGCCCCTCCTGGCTGGCCAGCCATACTCTGAGGGTCCTCAGGGCTACAGAAGGTTTCTTAGAGGGTAGACACTGGAAGAGTCCCAACCAACTCCAGGCCAGCTAGGACTACCCCAACTCTGCTGGCCCTGGTCTCTGTTCTTGTGGGTTTGGGAGAGGGCATCTGGGCCAGGGGCTCTCACCAAGCTGTTCCTCAGAGTATCCTGTGTGCGTGTGAAAATGTGCATGCATGTATGTTGGGAAGTAGGGGAGGAACCCTTTACTGACCCCAGCATCCTTGGGGCTCTTACTGCCACACTAATTAGGGCCTACAGAAAGTGCAAGGTCATCTGCTGGAAAGGCCCCAGTGCCAAGGTGTCAGTGTGTCCAGGGGCTGCCCAGGACATGGAGGAACCCCCAAACTGGGGTGGCATGGGGTGCGGGATGAGGTTCCTGGAAGGCCTGTGGAAGCCTCTTATAGCTTTTCTCCTCCCACCTCTCTCAGCAACTTAGCTAGTACCCTTCTCCTCTGCCTGGATGAGAATGTGGCCCTGACAGCTCGCCCAATCCTGAGCCCAGCCAATTCCCATTGCAACAGGCCCCCAAGCCGGCCCTCCTAACAGGTTCCCAGACTGCAAGGAAACACAGACTCCTCACACCCCTCTGGGAGAAGACTTGGCTTAATTGCACAGAAGGGACTGACCCAGGGTCCTGTGGCGTTGGCCAAGGGCTCCTCCTCTGGTGGCAGGTGTCTCTGTCTCTCTCAGGAACTCCCTTTCATAGTGGATGCTGAAATGGAAGCAAGGATGGGTGAACCAGGGCAGGATGCTGGCCTCCTGCCATCCACGCCCCTCTGTAGTCCCAAATACCCTTTTTCCTCAGTGGCCTTGATTCCAGGGCTGAGGACTGACACTCCCACCACTCTGCCCCTGCCAGCCCTGACTCTTTAGGGGGAATAAGCCAAGTGCATTCCTGCCTTCACTCTGGGGGTTTTCCCCACCCGTTCTACATTCTGTCCATCTTCCAAGGCCCAGTGTCAGCCTTATAGC